CAGTTTCAAGTAGCATTGCAATTAGCTATCAGATGAAAGTGCTTTCAAATACAATTGCTTAGTTGCTTTACTGAATAACCAGCAATATTTATTATTTATAATATGTCTTTCTGAATGTTAATGAGGAACACAATATAAAACAAACCATGATTTCCCAGTGTTGGCCCCCTGGATATTTCTTCATGCAAAACACAGCAGGGGAAGCTGACATTGTGTTTATGCTGTTGTTTAAAGGCCATACCCTAGCTGGCATGTCTGGCCCCCTGGAAGCCTTTCAGTCCTTAGTGGACTAAGTGGCTGGAACTGGGTACGTGGCATTTGGTCAGGTTTACTGTAACAACAGGCAGAGGAGTGATTCCCTGTAAATGGGTCGGGTCTCCATAATGAGGGATGTGGAGTGTGTGGCATTTTCTGTTCTTAGCTTGTCAAAAGTTTGTTGCACTAAATCATAACACACTAACACACTTTAATGATCCAGGTGAAGATGCATGGGGAAAGTTGGTAGTCCTTCTTCACAGACAGTAAAGACAGTAAATAGAACAGTGGAAAGTGAAATTTCCACCAGAGTTTTACAATGTTTCATTTCAGAGAATCACTTTAAGCATTCAGTGGCACATCTAGTAGCCTACTCATTCAGAAATACCACATGGTATGGACCTCCATTACAGTATGTACTTAAAGCAGTAGGCCAATTCAGCACATCATAAATCACACCAGGAAACAATCTTTTTCCGACAGATTAAGAACTGATCGACGAGGGGGGGTTAGGGTTGTGGTCTTGTCTTGTCCATGTGATTTTGGAAAGCTGCTACATCTAACAGTTAAGAGCTAGCTGCAAAACAGCATTCAAGAGCTTACTTAGTCTCTTTTTAATCTATAGAACTTCCAGTACCTTGATAGACTTGAAATTGTGTCAATTTGTACTTTCAACTGTATTTTCACACAGACCTTTAAAGGAAAAGACAGCAAATCCTTTAGGTGAGAGAAAATCTAGTTCAGCCACCAAAATATATATTGAGGGAAAACCTGATCTGTAGATAAAGGTCAGAAATCGTTTTAAGTGCAGGCAGTGATTTATTTGGATGCAGGATGGAGGAGATGTGGTGTTTTCAGTATAAACCGCCAAAGCTAAAAGGCCACAAACTTAATGTGCTCCAACCCTGTATGAGAATTAGGTTTACAGGTGGTGGACAGAGAAGATCCCACTCTGTAATTGTGCTGTCAAAGACAGAGCTAATATACTTTTTTTTTTTAAGTCAAGAAGAGGGCAGCACCAGAAGTGCACATTTTAGCTAGATGAAATCATGATCTGCACATCTTCTAAGATAACACCAATGCCCCGGAACTAGCTCACCTACATAGAATACAGCTATTATTAGTTATTAGTTATTTAACACACATGTGCTTTTCCTGACATAGAGTGGAAATATTATTTTACTGTCTGGCAGCTAGTTTAAATTATAGGTATTTTTTATGTTGCTGGCATGATGTAAGTCAGTAGCCCATCAGATTTTACCAGAATGTACCAACAATGTATTTTTTGTTTTAATATAAAAATCACTTTTTGTTCTGCATTATACTCAGAGTTATAATAGGAGCAGTAGTAAAGTAGTACTACAATTATTATCTCTCTGAATCAAATTAAATCTTTTGTCAAATGTCCTCAAATCAGTTCTGGCATCTTGAGATGTCTAGAGAAGTTTGTAGTCATTATTAAAGCAGAGTAAATTGAGAGTGACAACTTGAAACAGACAATTTGCTTTATAATTAAAAACATAATGCCTGATAATCTAGCCATGACAATTACAGAACAAGATATTTTTAGTGTTTAAAGTTCTGAGAACAAAACTGTGCTGACATTTTATATACTACATAGCCTTCAGACCAAATCAGTTTTATAATAATAGGTTTTAGAGTTCACTGTGATTTTCCCTCTTCAAGATATTTTTATGGTGTGGACTCTTACCTTGTATCTACATGCTGCACTAGGGGGCAACTACAGCCAAAAATGGGATTTAACAGCAATTTGAGTAGTAGAATAGTAAAGGCACCAGGGAACATAATGTTCCAATGCATGATACAAGGCACTGGCGTGCAAACAGTTGTCCATCATCGTAGATGACTCCCTAGACTAGTCAGTAAAACGTTTCTCAAGTCATTTATTCTCAACCTCAGCTCGTTTTTCTTCACACATAAAAATCCACCTGAAAGTATTTAATCTTTTCCCAGAAGAGTTTCAGAAAAATAAAATTCTACATGAGATTCATCTTGGAACAAGACAAAATAAACCAGATCACTGCAGCTGCATAAAGATAATGAAATATGATTCAACAAAATTCCTGCGAAGATAAAGCATTGTTTCATTGTCTCACAATAATATTGTCTACATATAATACATGTGTTCTTGTAACACCAAAAACAATCTGTGAGGTATTATGATTTTGGATCAAATAAGTAATCCAATGAAAGCTGTCTGTTCATCTATGGGTACATTGCAAAGAGGAACTGCTGATAGCTAAAGGCCCATACGCACGTAGCCATGCATGTTACGGTGGGTGGCTGAGTTGGGCAGGTTGGAGGACCCAAATGCAGGACGCAAGGTAGAGGAGGTGCAGTGAACCGAGGTGATTTATTAGAACAAACAGAAGGCGAGCACACTTACTGACTGAGTGGCTGATAGAGTCCAAAACAAAGGTAGTTCCTAACAGAAATCCAAAGGTACAGGGTGACAAGACAAGCAAGGCTGGTTACAGGAAGGCAGAGAGTATACACACGACAGACTGGGGAGGTAACATGAACAATGACCGGACAAGGGCTGAACAGAAAGACCACACCTATATACCAGGGATAACAAGCAGGGCGGGAGCAACACAGGTGACAGACATGAGGCTAACGAGGCAGGCAGAGAGAGAACAGAGGGAAGAACAGAGAGACAGTCAGGCAGAGGGATACTGGAGGGAATAGACATGTGTTCAGTAACCTGTGTCATAACAGATCAGAGAAATAAATATAAATGAATAAAGACACAAGCAGACACATCCCCACTGAACTAACACCAACAAGGAAAACAGACCGAAGCGAAGCAAAACACTGAACTGGAAACTAAGGCATCAAGAAGACAGACATGAGTGACAGACAGAGACGGACATGAGCGAACCCCAAAACACAACAGACTATACAACTGATAATGGACACAGGACAGAACCCAAAACACCAAGACATAAACCGAGACACAGAACGAGGAGCTAAGACACAGAATACAGAGCAGACTAAACTATAACAATGCATTTATACTTCTGCGTAGGTCTGTCCGTCATTCTGCAATTACACCCCCAAACGCTAGTCGGCAGTAGCGCTACAGCGTCCACTGTGTTGACTTTTGCTAGACGAGCAGGCTAACTTCCGGTTTAGCACTCTGCTAATGTGAATGGGGGTAAAATTCTATATGTGCCTCTGTGTAGCCTTTTCAAATGTTACCGACCGAATGGATCACATTCTGATAGCAAATCGAGTCATTTCAGTATTCCCAATTCCCATTTCAATTATGTCTTTTAATAGGCTACGTTTTGTGAAGTGGTCCACTGCATCTGTTAGGGCCTGTCCATAGGCTCGCCATTCATCTGTGACAACATCTGAGCCTCTTCTTACATGATGTTGGCCAGCAACAGGTCTTCTCTTGAGCGATCTTTCACCACCCTGACAACGAGTTTTCTTGATGTAATTATGTTGTGTTTTTGTGCTATACTGCAAAATGTTCAAAATTCAAACAGATTGTTCATAAAGCGAGTGTTTTCCTGCGCAAAATGTGTGTCACTTTACTTACAAACAATTAGTGTTATAAGGTCTTATAATTAGTTCATATGGTATTATTCCACCTGTAATATATTATACAGGGGTAGATATTTTAACACTTTACTTAAAGCAAACAAAGACATGCTATATAACTTTAAACATTACTATAAGCTATTATTCCATTTTATATCACTAATTGTAAATCTTGACTAAAGAGTATTCATAACGAGGCAGAGTCGGTGGTTATAATGTGTTATGGAACATGGTCGGAGATTCTTGCCGCACATTGATATAAACTGGTATTACTATTAGTTATAAAATATTAAATCAAAAGGTCATAATACGTTATGACTTTGCTATAGCGTATAATGCATGTTTTTAAGTGATTATAACAACTGTTATAATGTCTTATGGACGCATTATATCGTGTTATAAATATATGCATAAGTCATTATAGCGCTGACCTTCATAGAAAATGTTACCGTTTTTTTTTGCCTAAAACTGAACATGTCCTCCACAGAAAATTATAGGTCGTTTTAGCCACACAAATTATGACTCATGTTCATTGTGGCAGTGACCTGTAGTGGCCGTACAACGCAAACACATGACAAAGACGGTCATGTACTATAAATAGCCATAATGTTGCACACTGGTTCGCGTGTGAAACAATGATTTGTTTTTTAATACAGTTAAGTAGCGTTAGCTACATTAGCTTCATAGCATTAGCTAGCTAGCTAACTATTTAGCTAATTAGTCTTATAGGCATTGACAGTCCCACATAGCCCCCCTTATCCTAACCTTCACAGGGGTGTGTGCCTAAACCTAAGTCAGTGGTGATTGTATACCTGCCTCACGGCTGATCTGCTGGGTTCACCTCCTTTGTGTCGCTGCGGTCTCCATGTGTTTATGTCATGGGAAGATAAGTCACGTGATTTACGTAACGTAGGTCCGGTTGGGGAGTTCGAAATTGTCGTTTTGCAACACATGGACAAACGTCCCCGGTAGGGGCGCTACTGTAGGATACACTCGAGTAATTTGGTAGTTGGTAAAAACGACCTATGTTGTCGTTTAGGTTGGAGGACTTGTTGCTAAATACAGAGCTCAACTTGAAGCCCACTAACTAAATGACTCTTTGACAACATTATACTTCTTGTTTACATCCCCCAAAGTCCCCAAATTATGGGAGATTCGGGAGACACACAGCCAAATTGCCATTTTACTTTCACTTTGTTGTCCTGGTCTCCAGAAAAGTCTCTAAAAAGCCACTTACTCACTTTTCATTTTTTCATTTTTATTTTTTGAGCTACTGAAAAATCAACTGGAATAAACGAAAAAATATATAATATATAACTATGAATACTGATAGATCAAGTGTCACTGACATTTCTGAAATCTTCACTTGTCGATTATTGTTGATGGTGCTCTCCCTTACTTTAAGGTTGTCCTCCAGAGCCATGGATATCCTCATGGAAGAGGTTTTCAGTGTGACCGGCAACACCAGCCATGAAACAGGACTAGAGAAACTAAATGGCACCCAAAGCCAAGGACTCAACCACAGTGACCCCCTGGACATGTTTATAGGCATGGAGCTTCTTCTACGCTTCAAACCTCTCTTCCTGCCTCTCTACTGCCTCATAGTGGCCGTGGCTGGTGTTGGAAACTCTTTCCTCTTGGCTTGCATCTTGGCTGACAAGAAACTCCATAACGCCACCAACTTTTTCATTGGTAACTTAGCAGCTGGAGACCTGCTGATGTGTTTGAGTTGTGTCCCACTGACTGTGTCTTATGCCTTTGACAGCCATGGCTGGGCTTTTGGGAGACCACTCTGCCACCTGGTCCCCTTGCTGCAGTGTGCCACAGTGTTTGCATCAGTGCTTTCACTCACTGCCATTGCTGTGGACCGCTACATTGTTGTAGGTATGGGACTTAATATAATTTTTACTTGTTCTACTTCTTCTTCTTCTTCTAGGATTTGAAAATTAGTTTCTCTCGAGCCATATGGTGTGGGTGTAAAAAGGACACAGTGGTAGACAGCAATGCATGCTGATTAGTCAACCCTCAAATCCAACCAGGAGATACTGAGATGAATGGGCTGAAATCAACAGATTGCACTAATTTTATTATTCATTGAAAGACGCTATAATACTATACACATTTCAAACATGGTGGCTTTAATGTGTGAAATAATATACTGATTTGGGGCTGTTGGCTATGCTATGTCTGAAATTGTTCACATTCTGTTTCAGCTCACCCAGTACGGAGGAGGATCTCTGCTTGGGGTTGTGGTGCAGTGACTCTGGGTGTGTGGCTTTTATCTCTGGCCCTGGCCGCACCTCCGTCTCTCTACACGCGCTATCTGGACCTGCGACCCAGTGGCATCAACCTGGTAGTGTGTGAGGAATTCTGGCCAAATAGTGGCAATCTGCGGCTGCTGTACTCCTTCTTCATTCTCATAGCCTCCTATATGATCCCGCTGCTGTCGGTCAGCATATCCTACTGTGCCATCACTGTCAGCCTAAGACGCTATTCAGTACCTGGAGAGCCATACAATAGCCAACAGCGCTGGAGCCAAAGGAGGAAGAGGACTTTCTCTCTGCTGGTGGCCTCAGTGCTGGCCTTCGCTCTGTGTTGGATGCCCCTGCAGGTGAGTCTTACAGTAAAACTAAACTGTGAGGCATTCTTAGCTTGAATATCCTTCTTCTTTACTCCTTATCTGAGTTTGAATTTGAGGAAGATCTTGATTTGTGAGTTAGACTTGTAAGGGAGATCAAGTTTACACTCTTGTTGGTATCTGTTAGCAAATCATAAATTAGAAAGCAGTGAAGTGATGAAAAAAGAGTGAAGCTTTAACTGTCCATGAGATGATTCAGTTTTATACATCATTAACCACAGGATCTCATCATCAGGTAATTGTGTCTACAAAACCAATATTATGTCCACAGTGAGCCATACAAAAACCTCAGATCATCATATTACTGGAATAATAGGGCAGGGTTTACATTGCGGTAGGTTTGCACAGACCTGGGGCGCCGTTACACCAAAAGCATTCTGCGAGAACTGCCTACACACAGATCACAAATGGTGGCAGCATGACATTTCATAAGTGATTTTCTTATGCAAATTGCAGATACATTTGCCAGTCCTACTGGGCTGCAGGTGTTGCAAGTATGCCATTTGTTGTGATTATTGAAGGGTGTCAAAATGTGCAAGAAGAAAAGTTGGATTTAAGTTAAGTGTATTTTTAAGAATTAATACAGATTCAGCTCAATTAAATACAACCAGGGCTATAACACAAGTTTGTCCATGTCACTGTGTAGGTGCTGAATCTGTTGCTGGACCTGGATCCAGACTTCCAGATCATGGGGAAGCGCTACATAAATGTCTTACAAGTCTGCTGTCATTTAGTGGCTATGAGCTCTGCGTGTTACAACCCCTTCATCTATGCCTCACTGCACAGCAAGGTGCGCATGCACTTAAAAGGCTACCTCTGTCCTTGTCGCAATCGTCAGAGTGGGATGGTGGAGAGAGCAACGTCCAGGAGCTGATTTCCGACTGCTATGATACAACCACTGTAGCAGCTCCTGATATGCAGAGCCCTGTCCTTACCCACAAGCTAACACCTGCATCTCTATGTTAATGTCTGAGGTGTCCAGAAAATAAGATAACTGCTCAACATCCATACAAACAAGATTCCTCCCATTTCTTTTTGTGGCTTCAAGACAGTTGGTTCTCACATGTACAGTGTCACCATAGGCAGCACTAAACAAGGCCATTTATGACAAACAGGCAAGAAGCAGATCCCGACCAGACTGTAGTTTAGTATAATGATGAAGACGATTAAGGCATCCACTGGGATCCCTGTATTTTTCTTGGATGGCCAAGCTGCTGACATAGACGTTAAGCAGATCATGCAGCTCTAAAAAGGCCAGCATGGGCATAAACAGACCCTCAGGCTGAGGGGCTCTGAAACAGACTTGCTAGAGGCTGAGACCAGGGCCTGATTTAACAGTAGACGCTTGACTTTGGGGAGATGACCGGACATTGAACTCTTCTCACAAGACATGGTTTAAAGACCAAGAAGAGGATGTGCAAAAGACACAATGTGGCTGTTTTATTTCATCCCTTGTACTGACTGTCTGTTCTTCAAAATTGTATTCTTAAAAGCAGTTATGTCCTTCTTGATTTACCAACATTATATTCGATTTTTTGTGTTGAAATACACATGTTATTTTTAATGTTATTATGTAGTATTCATTCTCTGTTATTTGGATCCACAGTCTAACTTTGTGTCATCTGTGCACATAGACAAATACATTTGTGTTTGTGCATACATGTGGTGTGCACAGTTTGTGTGGACCTGGATGGAAAAGATCAATATGTACAGCAGTGCTGCACTTCTGTTTGTAAAATATAATCAATACCAAATGCATAAAGGTGTTACCTGATGAACAAAGACTCTTTGGCTCTGTCTGGAAAATAAGATAGACACAATGATCAACTTAGTATTCAGAGCATGAACAATAAAGTCACCCATAAGCATCACTGTGCTGTCTCCCCTGTCGTTCATTTCGTGTGATTTATGCTTTCATTGTTTGTCAGAGCCTGGCTATCAAGTCCATTTTTGAACATGCTTCGTGTTAAAAGACACTGGCTAATGTGATCTAAATTACATTTAAGCAGCATTCAATTCAATATTCAGACTTCTACAGTTTTATTATTATTGCTGGTTATGATAAAAGGGATATATATTTTTCTACATCACACATTCATTCATAATCATTGTGCAGGGCAGATTGTCCATCAACAAACCCAGCCCATTCAAAAATGCCAAAACACCATTTTTTTGGTCAGCCAGCTGGCAGCAGCAAAAATACTCAATGTAGCTTTAGTGCAAGCTAATAAGCCCCAGCTCCCCAGCCAATACTGCTGATGCAAACTGTCACCTTTTAACAATCAGATTACTTTGCTGCCTGTTGCTCGGCAGCTGGGTTGCCCTGACTTTTCTCTTTAAGTGAACCTTGAGACTACTTTCAGCTCTACTCAATTTGATTTTCCCTCTGATGCTTTTTCTATAAGGGTCTGCAAGAGTTATAGTTTTGTTTTTAAGAAGGGAGGTCAGTTTGAAAGGCTCCCTCCAATGCAATAATGTCACACAGAGTGTCGATCCACAGTTAAAGCCCATCTGAAATCGTCAGTATGACTAAAGGAGTAGCTATTAAAGTTAAAGTTCAGGGGAAGAAAGACATCCCAAGGTATTATTAATCAAGAGTGTAAAGTCAAAAACCCAGCTAATTTGCTTCATCTTAACTGATGAGATCAGATTGGTGGCATGCGCAAACAACCCCCACAAATGTTGTGAAATTTTGATTTAAAAAGGTCATATTATGCCCATTTTCAGGTTCAAAATCTTATTTAGGGGTTTTACCAGAACAGGTTTACATGGTTTCATTTTCAAAAAACAACATATTTTTGTCAGACTGCACATTACTGCAGCTCCTCTTTTCACCATGTATGTTGAATGCTCCATTTTAGCTATGGAGTGATGCATCTTACCTCTACAAGATCTTTGTTGGAGTTGCACATGCACAGTCAAGGACTACTAGCCAATCAGAAGCAGAGTAGTGTGGGCCTGAGAAGCAGGTAAACAGGGCGGTTCAGCTGTTCATGTTCCCCTAGGAGCTTAGCAACCTATACTGGAGCAAGAGTTTCAGAGTGGTGAGTTATTAATTTGTAACAAAATATCTTTAATCCATAATGTTTTAACTTGCACTACTCTACATCACAGTAACAACTTTATGTCCATTAACTGCCTGGAGGGTTAGCTAATGTTTGGAAGGGAGAGGAGAGGCAGCAGGCGGACCTCTTATCACTGTGTGCTCACTGTTTTTCCACTGGTGTTTTTGAGGGTGTGTCATACTATTTGCTAGGAGAACATTTTGACCCGCATTTTGCTGTGACGTCACAGAGAACAAAGGGAAAAGGCTGGACTACAAACAAGCTGTTTTCAGTCAGTTCAGAACTGTGTTTTCTATGGGAGATGGGAACTCCCTTTGGGCTGGACTTTTTCATGCACAAAAAAGGGATATAACTCAATAAAGGAGAGGGACAGAAAGCATAATATGACCTCTTTAAAATATTCAAATTGGAGCCCTGGAGTGAGAAAAGCACAGAAATACATAAAGCTAACCAAAATTCTTTACTTAGGCAGATTTCACATTAATGACCCAATTGAGTGTAATGCTGCTGTTATAAGAACTTTACACCAGGCGCTGTCTTCAGCTTCACTCTACAAAAAAAGCCATAAAAACATTTTCACCATAAATTGATGCAGAAAAAGCAGAAATTGTTTTAAAAAAAATATTCACCAGAATGCAGGAATTGGTGTGTTTAATGCTCAAATTTTTCATATAATTCAGCATAGATAATTTCTTAAAGTGTTGAAATCTCGTCTCGTCACGTTCCCATAAACACAAAATTGTGTCTTGGCAACGACCCCACAGACGTTAAATAGCTGAGTTTCTCTACCAGTCATTCAAAACTGAAGAAGTCTCTTAGATGAAGTAACGAGAGGCAGGAAAGGATGTGGTAGCTGGCGGTCAGGCGAGGAGCGAAGGGGGAACCAGGGAGAGCCGTGGAGGCGATGCAAGAGGGGAAGGCAGGTAGGTGAGCCCAGCTGACCGAATGGGAGACAGAGGTGAGTGGACCTGGTGGGGGAAACAGACAGGGTTAGTTCAATGAGATAGGAGATGGAGAAGTAAGATGTGAACAAGATCATAAAAAGCTTGAATGTAGCAGTGGCACCAAGTCTGGAGCGGCGACAATCAAGCGGGGATGGAGTGGAGAGCCGGGGTTGAAATACTGGTAGAGATGAGGCTGATAGCTGGCAGGTGTGGCGGTCGGAGGTGGAGGTTGATGATAGACAGCTGTGGGTAGTCAGCCGGGCTCCGGAGCGGAGAGAGGGAGAGCACACACAGAAGGAGAGGGGAGGAGACACAGGAGAAAATAGGATGCGGAGAAAAAGGAGTTAAAAACAGGGCACTCACCGTCAGCCGGGCTGCCACCGCAACAGTTGTAGCCAATTCTGCGGTCTGGTCGCTGCCACACAGACCACTGGTCGCTACCACTAAGGGCGCTAAAGATTGTGGTCGCTGCCACACAGACCACTGGTCACTGCCACTAGGAGCGCTAAACATAGTGGTCGCTGCAGGTGGGTCCGGAGTATAACTGGATCAAAGTGGCCTGCGACATGTCCTGGTTTCTCTGTAGTGTCCGAGGGTTTTTGGAGTTTCAGTGGACCCAAAGACTGCTATGGACCCGAGTACAGACTGGCTAGAGAGAGTAGATTAAATGTTAATTGTAACTCAATTATTTGCTCAACCCCTCAGACTGTTTTTATTTTCCATTTAACTCTTTTAACCCTGATTGTACACTGCACTGTAACTTTTATTATTTTTTAATGTGTATTTTTTCAATTTCCCTATGTTGCTTTTTTATATTTCCCTGTTGCTTTTATGTTTTATGTAAAGCACTTTGAATTACTTTGCTGTTGAAATGTGCTATACAAATAAACTTGCCTTGCCTTGCGTTGTTTTAATAAATATTTTTTTTACCACCAATTTGTCAACGTAACTGTAATTTCACTTAAAATTAATCACATGCCCGTTTTCTCTGTTGCTTGGAACAGCCACTATTCTGGTCAGGTTCTAGCTGCGTGCTCCCGAGCCTCTTGCCGACTACAGCCGCAGCTAACGAAATGCAGTCCATTAACACCCCAGCATAACAATCCAACACAAATTCTACGTATGAATAAAAAAAAGAAATAAAGTTATTTGTGAAGCCCATCTGGCTAAACGTGAGTCAAATTGATGTCGGGTGAAAACACAATCAACATCAGAAAGGCTTGAGTCACAGAGAGAGATCTTCGATTTGTTTTGAAACTGACAAAACCGACACAGAGTTGGCTTTCACCCTACTGGACAGGTGAAGTAACATTACTGCAAAGCATGTGCTTTAGTTGGCTCAAGTTAGGTTACATTAGCTTGCCAGCTAAAGCCGATCAGTTGCTAACATTATCCTGTTCAAAATACTACAGCTTTATCAGAATCAGAATCAGGTTTATTGCCAAGTACATTTTCACATACAAGGAATTTGCCTTGGTATAAATTGTTGCTTACAGTAGAAATTAACTTAAATAGAAATATATAAAAAAAATTAAAAAGGAGATCAAAAAATGTACAAGTATACAAAAAATACAATAATACTATAATACAATACTGACAAGTATGTGCAAAAGTGTCTTCAGAGCATTGAGCTCCAGACAGTTCTGGCTGCACCAGGTCACCAGATGGTCAATCTCCTACCAGTAGGAGGACTCATCCCCACCTGAGATGAGCCTAATGAGGGTGGTGTCATCCGCAAACTTCAGGAGCTTGACTGACCGGTGACTGGAGGTGCAGCTGTTGGTGTACAGGGAGAAGAGCAGAGAGGAAAGAACGCAGCCCTGAGGGGAACCAGTGCTGAGGGTCCTGGAGTCAGAGAGATCTTTTCCCAGCTTAACATGCTGCTTCCTGTCCATCAGGAAGTCTGTGATCCATCTGCAGGTGGAGTCAGGCACGATGGTGGAGGCTTTGAAGCAGGCTGGCACATGGCATGTCTCCAGTGAGGTGTTAAAAATGTTTGTGAACACCGGTGACAGCTGATTGGCGCAATGCTTCAGGGTGGATGGGGAGACAGAGTCCGACCCAGCTGCTTTGCAAGGTTTCTGCCTTGACAGTCTGTTGACTTCCCTCTCCAGGATGGTAAGAGAGGGGGAGGAGGTGGAGGATGAGATGGTGGACTGTGGCCGATCAGTGGTGTGACGGGTAATGGTGTCAGGTCTGTCCCATTGTCTTTCAAAACGACAGTAAAACTGGTTCAACTCATTGGCAAGTTGTGAGTCGTTCATGGAGTGGGGGGATTTAGGTTTGTAGCTGGTGATCTGTCTGAAGCCTCTCCAGACAGAAGAAGTCATTTCTTGAGAACTGGTGCTGTAATCTCTCTGCGTACAACTGTTTAACATCTTGCAACACCTTGCTACACCTGTACTTTGACTCCTTAAACCTGGCCCGGTCTCCACTCCTAAATGCCTCTTCCTTTTCCAATCTTAGCTGTCTGAGCTTAGCTGTGAACCAGGGTTTGTCCTTTTTATAACTCATCCTGGTCCGTGTTGGAATGCAGCTGTCCTCACAGAAGCTGATGTAGGACGTCACAGCCTCTGTATACTAATCCAGGTTGGTGGTAGCAGTCCTGAAAACATCCCAGTCAGTGCAGTCCAAACACGCCTCGAGGTTCTCTACAGCTTCACTGGTCCACTGCATTGATGTCCTCACTACAGGTTTACACAGTTTTAGCTTTTGCCTGTAAGCAAGAATCAAGTGAACCATGACATGGTCAGAGTGACCCAGTGGAGCTTGAGGTACGGTGTGATAGGCACTGCTTAATGTAGTGTAGTAGTGATCCAGAGTGTTCCCCTCTCTGGTTGGACACTTTATGAACTGTCTGTATTGGGGAGTTCATGACTGAGGTTTCCTTTGTTAAAGTCACTAAGAACAATAACTAAGGAGTCCAGGAAGGTTCGCTCTACTCACAGTATCTGGTCAGCCAGCGTGCGCTGTGCGTCGTGCACATTGGCCTGCGGTGCGAAGTAAACACAAAGAAGAAAGTAGGTAGCAAACTCGTGGGGAGAGTAGAATGGTTTACAGTGTATCAGTAAATATTCCAGGTCATGAGAACAGTGTTGCTGAATCACATGAGTCACATCATTACACCAGCCACTGTTAATGTAAAAACAGACACCTCCACCTTTTGTTTTGCTGGACAGTTGGAAGCCAGTCAGCTGCAGTCTGGTATTGATCCACACAGCCATGTCTCCGTGAAGCACAAAATAGAAGATAAAGAAAATAGATCTCTGTTTTTCCCCACCAGTAGCCGAAGTTCGTCCAGTTTATTGCAAAGTGAGCGCACATTGGAGAGAAATATTCCCGATAGCGGTGTCCTCTTCGGCGTGGTCGCACCAGTGTACCGGACCTCCTACCTCTCCTTCGGTGTCTCACCACGTGAACAGCGGAAAGTGAAGCCTTGACCGGAATGTCCAATAATTCCACTGATGACATGAGAAAAGTCGGAATTAAATCCGCTGGTGTTGTTCCCCTGATGTTTATGAGCTCTTCTCTGGTGAAAGAGCTCTGGGTATCACAGCAGAATGCAAAGTTAACAAACGTAAACAAAACAAACAGAGTGCACCAAAATACCACGGCTGCCCTGAGCTTTCCTTACCTTATGGCTTTCCACATTACTTCACCAGCTAACACTACCCATATTACTATCCTGTGTACCACCAGTATTATCTCAAAGTTTTGAGAATGTAAGAATGTAACGGTAAAAAGCAAATATGGAGTGATTTGTAAATACTGCACCGTGATTTGTAAATACTGTGCCGTGTAACAGCTGTGCCGCAGTTTTGTTCTGACCTCTTCTCGGCATCACTGGAAGTGTTTCAGCAGTGGAGCGTGCAGCCTGCCCCATGTTACTGACTTGTTAATTTGCTGCTTCTACTACTTTCTTCTTCTTCTGTGACCCGTTTTGTTCTGTTGTCTGCAGGCTGTATTTCCCACAGGGAGCATTTCAGCATCTGATGGAGGCATAGACTAGAATGGCTCCAGCAAATGCAGCGCAGCCGTAAAGCAACACAAGCAGATTCAATGGACTTTGTGGTTTACTGCGGTCTAACTGTTATAAATTGCGGCATTGTGGATTTAGATTTTGGCTTTCAACGATTATGAAAACAAGTTAATTGAGATCAAATGGTTATTGTGCTACATGCTGTTTCACAATGACACTCATTTTGCCTGGTGTTATAAACACCAGCGCACCCTTTCCTTTACAGAGGCGCCCCTGCCCCTTCTTAAAAGCTCAAACATTATCTCAGCCAGGCTATGATGTTTTGTTCAGCTCGAGCCAAGATGATAACTGCTACAACTTGCTGGTCACTATTATTAGCTTAAGCTAGTAATAGCTTTTACACTGCAGAAACCAGCCTAGCAACTAGTGGACTTTTGTTAACTAACAGATCTGCTGTCCTCTGTTTCACCGAATCCTGGCTCACCGAGCGCATCCCGGACAGCGCACTTCACCTACCGGGATTTAATCTCATCCACGCGGATCGCGAAAGGGAGCTCATGGGAAAATCACGGGGAGGCAGACTCTGTTTCTATATAAACGAAGGTTGGTGCACAGATGTCACAGTGTTGAAGAAATCATGACCAGATAACTAATGTGGAGAAAAAACACCCAGACTCCATGCTCATTGTTCTTGGGGACTTTAACAAAGCAAACCTCAACCATGAACTTCCAAAGTACAGACAGCATATTAAGAGTCCCACCAGGGACACTGGACCACTGCTACACAACATTAAAGGACGCCTATCGCTCTGTTCCCACATGCAGCCTTAGGACTCTCTGATCACTGTCTGGTTCATCTTCTCCCGACACACAGGCAAAAACTGAAATCTGCTAAACCTGTTGTAAAGACTGTGAAAAGATGGACCAATGAGTCAAAGCTGGAGTTACAGGCCTGCTTTGACTGCACTGACTGGAGTGTTTTTGAGCCTGCAGCCACTGACCTGGACGAACTAACTGACACTGTGACATCTTCAGTTTTTGTGAGGACATGTGTGTGCCGAATTAAAACCTTACATACAATAACCAAAAACCCTGGTTCCCAGTGAAACTCAAGCAGCTTCGTCAGACCAAAGAGGAGGCCTTAAGAAGCGGGGACAGAGTCTTGTACAACTAGGCCAGGAACACGCTGACTAAAGAGATCAAAGCTTCAAAGAGGTGCTATGCTGAAAGGCTCAATAACAGCTTTGCAGCCAACAACCCTGCGTCAGTGCAGACACTCACAAACTACAAGAGACCATCCCCCAACACTGCTGGTACTCAACAACTGGCAGACGAGCTGAATGGTTTCTACTGTAGGTTTGAAAAGCCCAGAGTCACCCCTCTCCCCCACTCCAACACCATCTTCAAACAGTCACCTTTCCCCTCTGATCTCTCACCTGCACTCAAGATCTGTGATGAGGACATGAGCCACCTCCTCCAAAGGCAGAAGATCAGGAAGGCTCCTGGACCTGACGATGTCTCACTATCGTGCCTGAAAATCTGTGCGGACCAGCTGGCCCCATCTTCACTCAGATCTTCAACAGATCACTGGAGCTGTGTGAAGTTCCCTCCTGCTTCAAACGCTCCAC